ATTTTCAATGATGAGAAAGAAAGAAAGGGGACACGATTGGTCAAAATGTTTTTCTCAAAACGAGTCATTTATCACAAGTTTTTACTTGCTAAACTTTTTTGATTTTGTTTAAAGAAAAAAATACAATAACCGCAAGTAAAGGGAACTCATATGTTACCTAAAGTATGCACTTGTCAATGATGATCATAGAATAGCTTCAAAATTACTCACATTTATATGCGTGTACAGATCGAAAACTGTGAACAGATGTTTTCTTTCAACGGAACTTAATATCGTACTGACGTTTTATTCAAATTTAAGACGAAAAAGAAAGTTAAACATTTCTTGTTCGAACTACATCATGTTTAAATATTCGCTTTGCAAATCAATCGAATTTATTTATTTTGTCAAAGACAATAACAGCCAACGTAAAGAATAACATGCCATTCAACATTTGAAGAACTACACATGTCTGGAACAAATGTAGGAATAATACTTATCTTCGAGAGTAAACTGTCCGTTGAGCAAAAACTAAACTAAATCTTCAGCAAAATATATTTACATAGGACTTTTAGTAAAGTGTTATCCTTTGTACTTGGAATATATCGAAACTAGATCATTTAACGTAAGAGAATGAAGATTTCGCATCTCATGCTTTTAAAATATTCTTTGTTATGCGTAATGTCGATGGAAGTCGACGGATGGGAACAATCAACAGATGGTTTAGGATGATAATATCGATTGAAAACATAGGTGTGAGAATCGGAAGGTGTCCAGAACTACATAGACAAGCGATTCATTCTCCTTAAAGTAATATCATGTTGAAGTCGATTGTTTGCTTTTGTTTTCTTGTCTTAGTAACAGTTAACGCTGTTCGGTTCGAAGTTAGTTCCAACGTTCCAGCTAACTCTGCATTGTTTTCGAATATATTTAGCTAAATGACAATGCTCGTCGTTTTTTGGCCAGCGTAAAGTTATCTAATCTGCCCGAATCCGTTCGATTATCATTGGTTAAGCACGAAGGCCGTGGTCCAAGTGATTCTTCGTACGTGCCGAGTCGTATTTCTTTGCTTTTTCCTAAATTATCTGTAATAGACATTGGTGTTGCATTAATGAACAACCTATTACGACTGAAACTCAAACGAAAATCGAATATGGCACACGCACTGTCGCAACCAAAACAAAAGTTCGTTTCGAAATCGACTAACAACAGTTGATCACATTAGACTGCATTTAGGTTGGTTATATCGATTGTGGCTTTATGGGAATGATGAAGTGCAGTAACTATGTGACAACCTATAGGTTTGTTTTCGATTTACCTAAAAAATATCATTGCGTTTTGGAATGTTTAGAGCGGAAACATATTCATTCGTACAAACATTTCAAGTACCTAACATGGCTGCATGCAGCACTCACGAAATGAAATGCTGTTCAGGTTATTTATTGGTACGATCATCTTTGCTGAGAAGGACTTTTCGAATAAAGTGAATTCTGAACATGCATTTAGGTCACCGGCAACTGTCATAGTATTCAAGATTTATCTGCAAATCAAGAATTGTTCCAATTTTTATTCGGTCTCGGTTTACTCGGATCCACTCCCGGCAAATGAATAATTATTTGAAATAAAATAAAATAAAAGAAAGAAAAAGAAGGTTATATTCTTCCAAGATGAAATTTATTTTACTTCACTTTTTCGCATCGTTCGAATAGAAAATTCGTTAAGATTTTTTTCTAAGAATTATCTGAAAGACTCTTTAGAGGCAAACGAAATTTTGAGATATTAATGTCACGCGTTGATGATGACGACCGGGAAGTCATTCGTCGTTTTATGGAACTTCGTGTTACCACAGAATTGTCTCGTTTCATATGTGGATGAAAGAGAATTTGCAACGTTTTCGCACGAATAATCGAGCTTGTCATTAGCAAAATCGGAAAATGTGAACAATGATGAACGATCTCCATGAGATCTAAGAATATAGAGAGATTATTGGTTGGAATTCGTTCACCTTGAAAAGTTGCCAAGGCACCTAGAATACCAATAGGTGATGTCAACAACAGAAATGCTACACTTGAAAGTAACATGTAAAGTATGACGCTCCGTTCTTTCCAGTCATCGTTTTTATACGTTCCAAAACGAGCTCGACGTTGATGTGAACGCCGACGTAAACCGATCATCAGTGTAATGTTTGTTGCAATGATAATTAATGGGAGTACGAAATTATTCAAACCGATATTTTCAATAAATAATAAATTACTCAGAGAAAAACGAATACCGTACGCGTTGTAAAATGCATTATCACATGAAAATAAGATTTTCTTCTTCTGTACATCAAAATAACAATAAGAGACATCATATGGCCAGAAAAGAAATGGATGATTGTAAATAATCACAAGCAGAAGAATACAAATTGTGGTTAAACATGCAGTTCGACGACTCATCAAAGCTCGACGTTCAGTCGACCATACTTTCAAATTTCGTTCTATACCTAAATAGATAACTGGCTGAGAACGTTTGTCTAAGTCCTTCTATATTACGTCGTTCCTTTGTTCTCATCTTTAATTATCTACGACATCGGATACTCTTCTTTCCGCTTCTACTTTATCACAACTTTCATTGAGTGCCGCCCTCTTTTAATACTGATGTCATCGAAAGTATATTTTTCCAAAAATAGACCGAGAAGGCGTGTACATGCATACCTTACCTAATGCGCAAAGAAAAGCATAAGATGAATTTTCACTTGTCATCGTTAGAAACCATGTCACTGAACATACGAAATAAGGATGTTGAATGTGGAAAAATAACAGATGAACGGTATATTCGGCTGATAGCTTGACGATATCCGCAATGGATAAAGCAATAATAAATACTGAATATGGAGTATTAATAAGTGACTTTGCACGACAAAATAATAAACATGAACATAGATTAAGAATTGTACCAAGAATAGTTAATAAACAGCCGAAGGTAAAATAGAATACGATGACATTCGAATCTGCGCGTGCGTTACATGATGTATTCATTGTATGATTTCAATACTCCGTCTGTCAAAAGAAGCTCTCGGATAGGATTATATATAGCTATCTGACTGTCTAGAGAAAAGAAAAGGGATATATGACATTCATCATTCTTCTTTTGCCATGAAGAAAACGATAAAAGCGGATGTTAGACGAATACTTGAAGTTGCTTACGAGACGCAAAAAGAAGGAACGTACTGATATCTCAGAGTAACTGTTTCAGTGATTGAGTCTCATATGAAGTTCAGCTATGCTATTATACGAGCTTAACGAGTCAAAAGAATGCCGGCATCGAAGATTTCTGAGACTATTGTCAATTATGAATAATAGACGTGTTCAATCGAGACCGATAATCATTGCTCTCGCTGAAATGATGACTGCACTTGAACATGACAAGAGATCTCTCTCGAAATAGGATCATTTGTCATTTATTTTGTCAACAGTTTAAAAGCATTCTCTTCGATGTTTTTCTGTTGACCCTAGAATTCAATATTAGACCGAACGGCTTATCTTTATACCGACTATTTTCTGACTACTCAGAAACTTCATCACCAGTCTGTTATGTAAATACTACTTATGACGGATATTGATGTATTATATTAACTTCAAAGACGAAAGAAAAAAAAACAAATGAAATGTAATTTGATCTTATTGCATAGGATGTTATTCACGATCTCTGCGCTATGCCTTCCTTTATTGACAATGAAGAAACTAGTATTCTTATTATAGACAATACCCTTAATTTTTGCATTACATTGTATTCTCTGTAATTGAAAATGTTCCCTCACAGACAATAATCATTAGAGAACATCGTTATATAGCATATGCAACTAGCTATATTTACACAAATGGGTCTGAAGATCCGGTAGTGTGTTATTATAGCAACTGCCAGAAACAACTAGCGTACCCGGAGAGTCAATGTTAATATGTCCTAGTACTTTCAAAGTAATATGCTGTTGGGAAGTCTGGTTGAGGTGTACGATTATTCTTGAAAGAAAAAGATTTGACTTATTACGCCTATGTATGACTGACGTCAGTGCATGTGAAGTGCTTAATTGCATACGACGTTGGGCTTGGTCTCACTTGCCTCCTATATCCAGTAATTCATCACGGCAGGATTCTGAATTTCTATATGTGGAAGAGGAAAAATAAACGAGAAGTAGGTGTTTACAATAATGTTGAAAATGTGTTTCTTTGTATCAAATGGAATAATTCAAAGAGAAAAATTCGTCAAATCTTATCTTGATTATGCTACTGCACGTCGTCATTTTCTGTTATGTTCTATTTTTTTGTATAGGGTGTGATCTTGATAGATGATATTTATCTTCATTATTCAAACATGAAGATTGATGATAATCAATTGAAATATAAGAATAATCGAGGAAATTCAGATTGTCTTTACTATTTATAGCGATTGGGCTATCAAATATTGTGGTATGTTGTATTCAGTTGTTGGAAAAAGGCAATTCAGGGAAATTGGATCTTTTCTACCAACACTCCATCTAAATCCTTTTGCGTACATGTATTAATAGAAACAGAAGAGGCTTGGTAGAAGTAAATACGTTCATGATAATCTTCCATATGTTTTCTTTCCTATGACGAGAAAGTATTTAATTTCGATGATAAATGTATATTTTATTGGAAAAAGTAAGACACAAGAAAATAGTGCTACTGTATTCGCGAAAATGGTTACTTATTAGAACGAAAATGTCTTTATTTAGAGTTAATATTTAAGTGTGATACGATCGTATCTATATACACATAATAAAGCAAAGTGTATAAGAGAATTAAGACCATGCTTCCCATTCATCATCAAATTCATTCGCATTTTTCTTCTCCGTTGATGATGCTGTTGCTGCTGCTGTTGTTGTTGTTGATGCTGACAAATTATCCGATGTAACTGTTTCTGCGGATTGGGTGAGAGGATCCACGTCTGATGTTGATGGTAGGGGTACTGAAGTAACATCTGTTTCATCGAATTCTCTATCCCAACTATCACCTACGAGTACGAAACAGATTGTTTCTGTGATTATTCAGTGAACGTCTCTACCTGTATCGCTTTCACTACGTTCATTAGTTGATTTTTCAAAAGATGAATCCGTGTGTATCGTTTCCTGTTGTTCTTCATGATGTTCTACAGGTGCAATTACAGCTAATGACTCTTCAGTTGTCTTTGCTGCTTCGTCTGAAGTGTTCTCTTCTATACAATCAAGATCAAATAAGTCAGCAAACAAAATTTTGTTCGATTTTACCGGGTTCATCCCAATCGTTAGCATCGTCTTCTCCTGCATTATCATTGGTTTCCGAACAGATTTCATGAGCACGTCGGAGCAACTGCGTACGTCTCGCTTCTTCTTCTTCAAGTTGATGCATGCGAAAATAATATCGAGACCAAAAATCGACATGCGTGGTTTGTGCTGGAACAAGATTTGCATAGAAGGAACGTACATGAGGAGCATCGATTAATAATTGTGCAATATCGCCTTTCCGATCATCAACATTAAACTCAGATGTTTGACGCCATGTTTCATACGCCTCGGTTTGTACAGGATCAGTTAAATATGTTGATTCGTCATTTTGTAATCGAGTTAATTCACTCTGAAATTTCAAATACTATACATGACGAAACATCAGACTCAATATTATATTACATGAATGCGATCGAATGACGGTTTAAGAGAACTAGATTTTTCTGTATTCTCTTCGGTCTTGTCAGCGCCACTTATTTTCGATACAAATCGATTGATACCGAGATCTCCAACCTAAATAATTCAATCTGGTATACCGAGAATTGAATGTAAGAAAAGAAGACGAACGTACTTCTTGACTTTTGATTTTAGCTATATAAGATTCTGTATCGTTTTTGACTACCGTTGTAAATTCAGTCAAATCGCGGCGAACAAACTCCAATGCATCTGCTGACTACAACAGCACAAAGTGATATCTACCTTCTTGTGCAAATCGAATATACCCTACTTTATCACGAACTGTTTGAAGAGCTGATGTAAGCCAACTCGTCATATTCGAAAAATCTAGAAGAAAAATCAAACAAAAGTAACACATCAGAGCATGGAAAATTACTGTTTCAATCAAAAAATATCTTAGTTTTATTCTGTTCATTAAATGAATCAATTGTCAAATGAAAATGAAGGAATGTCAAGCTATTGCACTCTGCTTTAGTCATTACAAGAAGAAGTAAATGTACACAATGAGAAATCAGTCATCGCATCGAGCACCCTCACGGATACAGGCAACGATATTCGATATACTCAATGATGTACCGGCAATAAAAACATAAAAGCCAAATAGAATAATACAGATATTGAAAATTAACTGCCATTTGAATCGACCGAGTCTATTCGGCCAGAATGTGATTGTTTCACATATGGGAGGAAATATAACTGATAATGCAGTTGAAGCGACAGCACCAACTGAAAATTCAAAAGTAGATGTGTCTTAGCTTTTGGAAGGAATTATCAGTCAACGCACCTAATGAAATCACAAGACCGAGATTAGGTATCAACGCAGCGACAGCAACTAGAAAAGAAAAAGAAAATGTCATTTAATCCGACGGTTGAGAGAAAATAAAAAGAAATCCTTTGAGTAAAATACAGAAATGTCATCACTATCACGAAAGAATATATGTTCTCTTTGTTTGATTGAAGATGCTCATCAAAATTGTAATGTTATCTGACTTACAAGTGACAACAATCAATCCAATACGAAATACATGTTCAAACTTCGCTTTAGTTCGTTCATTGTATTTGTAAAGAACTTTTCGGCAAACTCTTGGCCAGAGAAGTGTAAATGGAACATAAAATTGAAGATTATATGTTAAAAAGATAGCTACAGCGTACATAATTTTGGTAAATTGATACAATCTACTCAAAAGTCGACCAATGTACAAACAAATAGATACAAAAAGACTTGGTACTTGTTATCATTGGGTAGATTTAAACTAATCGATCCACGTGCGTCCGAACCATATCGAATATAACCGAAAAATCCAACGAAAAAGTACAAGATAGTTACGAGGTACATTCCTGTGTTCAATACACCATTAAAACCACCATATGCTTCAGGTTCCTTCATCTTCTGTCGCACTGGTAAAACCTAAACATATCAGTCATTACAGAAGCATTCTTCATGCTTATTTTAATTACTCACTAGAGCAATACCTTCGAATACATACATTGCTGATGCGAAGAAAACAGGCCACTCTTCTGGTGGTGTTACCTTTGGTAATTTGTCCAATGGAAGATGTGAACGTATCACATATTGCATAATTATACACAAACCTATAAGCAATAGACGATAAGCCACTTTTCGTTATGTCAACATGTTGTTTTACCTCCAAGACTAATCACATTAGCAGCAAGCGAGAATGGTGCAAGAACTTTTAAGCTTCGAATCATTGAGAATCCAATGACAAGCACGAGCATTATCAATTGGTAGATTTGTATTACTGGACTATTCGGAGTATAATAATCGACGACTTGTTTGATACTTGCTGGAACGAATACGAAATATACACAGCAAAAGCCGAGTTGAATCAAGACGATAAAACCATCAATAACGAATCTATTCAAATAAATGAAAAAAAGTGTTTCGCTCGACAAACCTTTACATTAGCATCTTACTTTCCCAACTTAGCATAGCGTTGTGCAACTCGCCATCGACACGTTTCTAACGTATATCGCATTATATCACCAAAATCACATTTCGTTCGTGACGTACTGAAAAGTAAATGTTGAGGATACGAGTACATGTATTGTCATTTGTCATATTTACTGATGTCGATAATGTTCATGACAACGTAGTAGTTGATGCATGCAATAGAGCGTCACAGCACCTATTATCCAAAAAGCGATGGAACCAAACTATAAAGACAACACTTGAATTTTAGTATCTGTTAGTCGTAGCAAATGTTATACATACGACTAGTCCAGCTTTTGACAGTGCATAAGGAAAAGCAAGAATGCCAGCACCAATATTACCTTTGATCAAATGCATTAATGTTTCAGTATTTCTAAATATAATAAGAGTGTCTGGCGCATGGATCTTTCTTCGTTGTTCGGGAAAGAAAGCTTTATTTACGTTGTTCGATGTTCAGTTGAATCACCGGCAAACGAAGCAACAAGTGGTGCAACCTAAACATATCAGATATTTCTCTAGAAAACTCAACAAATTCCTAAACGGTTCTTGATAAATCCGAAAAAGGTCAGAGATTTTCTCGAATACCACTCATATGACTAGAGAGTATATTAATCAATAGACACGTACAGCCTCGTTTTCGTTATTTTCATCCACATGTGATGCCATTGAATTTAAGATTTCATCTTCTTTCAATAAGTTCGGTAGATCGACTTTTTCCGAAATTGATGCATCTGTGATCGGTGTCGATGTTCGAACGTCCGGCACTTTTGTTAGAATTTCTGTTTGACTTTCTCTCGGTGTTGGCACGTGTGAGTCCGCCATTGAATATTCCAATCAACGGAAAACAACTGTTGATTTTCAATCTTGATAATGAAAAAAATGAAAAGACGAAAAAATGTTGTCTTCTCTCTCACATGTTTCTTTCTCCTTCATTCGTATTCTTCTCAATAACAAATCATCTGGTTTCGACCAATAAAAATCAGTCATTGAACCTCCTGTCAAATATGCTTTTCACGTTGACTCTAGCGCACCAATTCTGCTCTGACTAATCGGACTCCTCGATGTATAATTATTATTTGATTGTTGTTGTTTATACCTTTTTCTTTTCTTTTCAAAGAATCATTCATCCTGAAATATTTTCTCTACCTGTTTAATGTAAATGTAAATAGCTGAGTGATTTTTTTATTGAAATTTCTTAACAAATATGCCAAAAAAGCCTGCCGATGGAAACAAACCTCGTGGACCTATAACAGCATATGCTTTATTCGTTCGTACATGTCGAGACGAGTTACGTCGAAAACATCCTCAATTATCTGTCGATTACAACGTTATTGCAAAGAAATGTTCCGAACGTTGGAAGGCAATGAATGAAAGTGAAAAACGACGTTTCAATGAAACAGCCGAATTGCAACGAAAACGATACAAGGAGGAACTTGCTACGTATCAGCAAGAACAATCTGCTAAGCAACAACAACAACAACAGCAGCAGCAACAACAACAACAACAGCAGCAGCAACAAACGGTACCAGCATCGATTCTACTTCAAACACCAGCAACACAATATCTTGTTGAATCATCTCAACAGCAGCAGCATACATTGATTATGCCAACTCCTGTTCAACACGCGTTGGCGACTATGCCGAAAAAGCCGGCAAAAAAACGGAAACCAAAAGATCCTCTAGCACCAAAGAAACCATTGTCAGCGTACTTTCTCTTTTGTGCTGATGAACGGCCCAAAGTTCATAGTTCTCAATCAGGTAAAGCCTGTCTACGTTTTTTTTTTAAACTCACAATTAGTCCGCTCTTTTCGATTAGGCTAATTCCATTTTCATTAGCTTATACTCCTCGAGTCTTCTATCATTAATGTAGAGGAGAAGTCTAATCTAAATATTTTGAGGGCTTGCTCTGGCTCAACTTTAGTGTCAGTCTGTTCTTTCCTATGTATATGTGTATTGAAAAGAGAACAGAACATGCCAAGAGTAGACTTTTGTTTCATTTGAATGGATGACAGGTTATTTGATTATGCATTAGAGATTCAAATAGATTTTTCAGCATTACAAATTCGGTGAAGAATAATGAATGAAGTGAGTTATGCGCTGAAAAATTTGTCAGGTCGTAAGCGTAGGTCATATACAAAGGCGAGATAAAAGTATCCTGAAAGTATGTTTTTAGACAGTGTCTTATTGTATTGTATGTCTATCTGTGAAATACGTGACAGAAATTTATGTATCAGAGTCGTGATCTCGTTGTTCGAATAACTCTGCTTATTATCTATTGTGTTTTACGAAAAAAACATGCAGCCAATTATAGATAACAATTCGATAATGATGCACAAACATGTCGCATATTCCTTTCGTACTCGGAAGTTCTTTCGGACCATTGTGAAGATAGTCTCTATCGTGTTTCTTGTTTTTTAATAGGCATGTCAGTAAGCGATGTGGCTCGTGAACTGGGTGTACGATGGAAGAATACTCCTGCTGACTTGAAAAGTAAATACGAACAAGCAGCATCTGAAAAGAAACATGTTTATCAAGCTGAAATGGCTCTTTATAAGCATCAGACATCCTCAGGCTCGTCTCCACCGGAAACTCCGCAAACTCCATCGACACCGCATGATTACCAGTCTACATTTACGTCGTTACCTATTCAACAATTGGTACCATTACAATACGACCCCAATGAAAATCCATCAGAATTCGATTTGATTACAAATGGACACGAAGATCCATTGTAGTGTGGAATCGAACATTTTGACTTTTGTTTTTCTTACTCGTTTTTGTGTCTTTATTTTTTCCCTTCTTCAGATGTTCATTCTGGTGCATAAGAAAAACAAAACACGAAAATTAACGTCAGAATAGATCAAATGATATGTATTTTTGCTCCGTTCTAGAGGCCATGTGAACTAATTCCATAATCAATAAACATGTTTGCTACAACATCTTCTACAACAACCACCACCACCACAACAACAACAACAAACAATAATAATATTCATCCATCGTCATATATCGTTGCGACGCCCACAACCGTCACTGCCACGACGAATGCTACACTTGAAACCACGACCACTAATGCTACGACACCGCAAACATTAAGTGATATCAAACTTATCTGCACTCAAAGAAAGAAGGTTTGTTCACTGACGTTTTTTCATACATGAAATACTGAGGAATCGTCAGATTCACATTCCATTGTTTCGAAACGACCGTTCTGATGTATGTAAGAAGAAAACCTGTAGGAAACAATACACATATAGTGATAAAAATTGAAACAGATTGAAAGCATATGTATGATTTCTCCTGAAATTAAAATTCGGATAATGACGAGAACAAAAAATTCTGCGTGTTCTTTAAGATTATGCAATATCTATTGAAAAGCTTGAAAATTTCTTTGTTCTAGAAAACCAAACGTCATATTTGTTTAACATTTATCGAAAGTTGCCCAATAAAATCTCCAACTGACCATCCATCCATTGAAGTGACACGAAAGGCAAATGCATCGTCTCCATATTCATCCTATCCATTAAATGACTGTATTTCCTTTGAATATTTCGATACAGTGAAAAATGATTTCCAGTCATATATCTATGCTTATTTCGAATCCTTCACCGTATCCATCTTATTTTCCGATGAAGACTTTGACAAAAAATCTCTCATTATCAAACATTTGGAATACATGTATCACAGTAAAACAGAAAAAACTTCAGAAATCAACAACAACGCACAAGATTCTTCGCAACCTCAACCAGGACCATCCCAATCACAACAGCAAGCGCCGATCTTACCATGTCCGTCAACGACTGACCATATTCTTCATGCATTTGATGTCTGCCTTATTCCGTATGGCCCAATTATAAACCGTGATCACCCTTTAAACGGTCAAGCGCGTCTTTATTTCACTACAACAGATCTCTATATCGCATCAATTGATTGTAATCGCGCTGACCTAAAAACCACAATTGCAAATCAATGTCCATCGAAAGATAAAGCAATCCTATGTATTCCATATTTTACAATAAAAAACTATGGCAATCGTTCGAATATCTTTCTGATTGAGTTAGGCAAATCCAATTATGGAAATGGGGAGATTCACATGAAATGTTATTCATCATCATTAGCGAGTACAATCCATTTATTAGTGAGTCCAGTGATCGAAGAGCGACCATTGATTTTATCGTCAGCATTTCAAAATCAATTGTTAACACACAAACGCATCGAGAAATTGAAAACAATTCATCCACCTGTTCAATTGACACAAGATACGACTAATCATCCAATCCTAGATCCACAATCACCATCTTTAGCCGTGCTCAAAAAGAAATCATTTGAAGAACCCGATGCCGATTCTCAGCAATTATCGTTAATAACTACAACACCAACAACAACTAATGAGCCGAAATCACGTCTAATTGTGGGTTTCTTTCGTACATTGACAAAAAATGTGTCACATCTACGGCGATCGGCAACGTTTCATCACAACAATAGCAGTAATAGTACGAATCATCAACATAACGAACAACTCATATCGTCGGAGATTAACAATTTGCTACCGAAAAATAAATCAGTTGCATTTAATATTGATGAGAAGACGTTTCACAACGATCAGCATCAAATCATTCTACCTGAATCTCAGAAGAAGGCGGAATCAACATCAACAGTATCATCAACAATGACAAAACAAACAAGTGAGACTATGTTAACATCAACATCGACATTGAACACTAATAAACAAGACTCAACCATGGGCACATATATTGATATGGGACCGACAGTTCCAAAAATCGATCAAAATCAAGAGGAAGATATCAAAGATGAAGTAATCATCAAAGAAACAACAGCAACGGCAGATATTGGTGTCAATAGTATGTAGAGCTTTTATTAGAGTAGATCAAAACTTCCCATTGATCACGTCATTTCAGCGACAATCAGTTTATCACCTTGCGTTCGTTCAGCAATCATCGTTGGTAATTCGGTTCATTTGATTGCTGATGGTATGCTACTTGATCTTGATCAAACGGTAATATTCATTGGATTTTTTTTCTGTTTTAGAAAAATCTCTCTTTCCTATTGGTCAACGTTCATTCACATCTCCTGCTAGTGTCATGCAACCATTCAAAACCCAACTGAATGGTCCATCATTGAGTAATCCTTATGGTAATTATTATCTTCATCTTTCTGCAAAAGTCCGATTGTACAACTGTCAAATATTTCGTTTAGGTACATCAGCAGACTTGGTTACGTCTTCACCCAACAGTTTCAAGTATGTTTTCTACCAAATCAATTTTTCGTTCTGATTGAATTCTGCTTTTTTTAGCTCGATCCCTCAAGCAAATTCCGTTTCCAATTCGCAACAATCCCTGCTTCTTTCGTATGGTATAGTTACATTTAACAAGAATGATCTAATAACAAATGAACAAACTGAACGTGCAACTAGTCCACCGTTAGATGGCTCTACACTCGAGCGTCGCCTCAATTCCGATCTTAGTCTGATGTCTATGCCTCAGCAACAGCAAGGACAACAGCAAAATTCTATTGTTCATCCTTTAGATAACGTTTTGTCTGCATCTAGCACGCAAATCTTCCGTAATCTATCGGTGTCAGCAAATAACATTGGTGATACAACATCCGGTTCCATTCGAACTCCTCACGGTTCAATTATATTCTTCGATGAAAATCTTACNTCCATCAGTAGCAGATCTCCAGCAACAAATCGAACGACAATTTCATATCCCAATAAAAAATCAACGCATTTTATTCAAAGGACAAGATCTACATGAGAATCAACAGGGTAAATTGAGACGATATGGTATTACCAATGCTTGTGCGATTCGTGTAGTTGGACATAAAGAGTTATGAAGATGATTGATAAACAGTTTGTCGGTTTTTTTTGTGATATTTACAAAGGGGAATACGAATAAAAACAATAACCTTGACGAACTAATTAGAAAAGCGAACGTGCGATAGATATATTAAGTAAATAGATTTATCACTCTCTTATTTCGTTGTCTAGAAAAGATAATGAAAATCTGAAGAAACAGAAAAAACAACAACAATAACAATACCACCTTGCTCATCTATCTCAATATTTGTTCCTCAAAATAGATGCGAATAACTTCAACGACGTAACTTGAGTTCTACACGATAGGTTATCTTTTATCGAAGTTTTCTATTCTAGTTGACATTTCGAGACTATTCTCAGAACAAATCGAGCAAAACTTCACAATCATGACCGATGCTTTCTCCTGTTCTGTTCCCTCTTCATACACTATTTGCACTTTCTTCCTTTTTTTCCTGCATACGCGTCGAGTCACATGCTCGTTGTGATGCAGATAAATATGAGTGTGTTTTTTCTTCGTTATTAAAAATATACGCAGGTGTTGTCATATCAGCAATGACAAATCATCTTTAACCATATCTTAGGCCAAATCGGGACAGATAAATTCAACCGTAGTGCACCGTTTTGCTCTTATTCTATTCTATTAAATTGTTTCAACACATTCGCATTTACCTTTACCATGCAACGACAACTTGTTTTTCTCGTTGCCAGTATTGTTCTTTTCGGTATTAGTTACACATCAGCGGCTAATTGGGCTGTGCTAGTGGCCGGTTCAAATGGCTGGTACAACTACCGTCATCAATCTGATGTTTGCCACGCTTATCAAATCTTACACAAAAATGGCATTCCCGATTCTAACATCATTGTTATGATGTATGATGACTTAGCTAAAAATTCTCAGTATGTTAATGTGTAGAAAGGTTCAGTTCTTTTTTCGAATATTTAGTTTTATTATTTGAAGAAATCCAACGAAAGGTATTATCATCAATCATCCGAATGGACAAGATGTTTATCATGGTGTCCCACATGATTATACTGGCAAAGTATGTTAGTAGATTGAGTATGTTCTAAAGAATATGCAGTCTTGTTTGTGTACGTACAGGATGTTACACCAAAAAATTTCATCAATGTTCTATTAGGAAACAAAGAAGCTATGAAAGGTATTGGTAGTGGCAAAGTTCTGGAAAGGTAAAAGAAACCTTGAAAAAATTGAGAATGTATTTAAAAAAAAAACCTGCCTTCTTTTCAGTGGCCCTGATGATAATGTCTTTATCTACTATACCGATCATGGTGCTGTTGGTAAGAGAAGTCTTTTGGTTTCGAACGCATACTATTATTTTCGTTCTAGGATTGGTCGCTTTTCCCACCGGCGTTGTAAGTTTATATTCGATTTTCTCTGCTGAGAATTCGACAATTTCGACTTTGATAAATATTTCTAGCTCTATGCCACGGATTTAAATACAACTATCACCAAAATGCACGCCCAGAAGAAATACAAAGAAGTTTGTAGATCATATCTTTTCTCAGTCTCAATCAAATTCAGCTTTTTACTCTAGATGGTCATCTATATTGAAGCATGCGAATCTGGTTCAATGCTTGAAAACATTCTTGCTGATAATATCAAAATCTATGGAACGACTGCATCTAATGCCGAAGAATCATCCTATGCTTGTTACTATGATGCCAAACGACAGACATATTTAGGTGATGTTTACTCGGTCGTCTGGATGGAAGATTCCGATGTTGAAGATCTTAACAAAGAAACCTTATTTCAACAATTCACAGTTACAAAACAAAAGACTAATACCAGCCATGTCATGCAATATGGTGACCTTGTAAGTAGAGCAAACAGCCGCAAGAAAGTATCTCAGTGTCTTGACTTTTTCCTTTTAGTCTCTCGGCAAAGCCGATACTGTTGGCGAATTTCAAGGTGAAAAGAGCAACTCAGTTAAACCTAGCCGTAATATCTTGAAAGATCGTTACAATGAATTGCTCCGTGTAAGTTCTATTCAAATCTGCATGAAAACGAACGAATTCCCTGTCTCTGAAACATCGTTTAGCGTGATGCTGTCCCAACTGAAGATGTTCGTATTTCAATCGTTTCACGCCGTTTAGCAGCAGCTGATGAAAATTCAGTCGAAAAATCCAATCTAGAACGTGAACTAATTCAACTACTCAACGTATGTGATCAGAAAATATTGATATTCACTATGTTAATATTCGCTTTAGGATCGTGCTACCATCGCCACACGTATTCAACAAATTGCATCGACAGCGCTATCAATGAACCGTGGTGATTACCTCGAAATGGTTACAACCAAACGTATGCGACTCACTCAACATGCCTGTTACAAATCAGTAACTCAACGCATTCAGAAGAAATGCTTCGATCTTCCAGTATGTTGTTCATCAGAAAGTCTACATCTCATTCGAGTAACTTCTTTTGCTAATTTAGAATGAATTCGTCTTGAACAAACTCTACATTATGGCTAACTTATGTGAAGTCGGCCTATATGACTTTACCATTAATCAAGCCGTTGACCAAGTTTGTCAAGAACGTCTCGATTTCGTCTATTAAACGACAATAAAAAACGCAAAGATGGAGAGAAAAAAGTTTACATGTGGCCATCGATGTCTTTCATTGCTTTTTTAATTCGTTTTTTTTATTCTTTGACTCTCTCTAAATAAATATTCTACCATCAACAACATGTTCACACGAACGCACATAGCTCGTAATTGTGAAGATTTTTCATCTTTCCTTTCCTTTCTCGCGTACTTTTTTCTCTTACTTTTAAGTGCTGATAAGAGTAACAGCGGCAGTAGTAGAAGGGACAACAATAGAAACAAACAACATTTTCCACCTTCAATGCACGTACATCGGTCGATGACGAATACAGATACTAATAAATTCTATTTCGATCGTAAGAACTACTTCGTACGATTCATTCCACATGGCAATGAAACGGCACAGACACCCAGCAGTCAAATCAATAAAAATATCAGCCATGCATTAGAATACTTTGTTGCGGATCTGAGACGTGATCGAAATAAAACAATAGAACGATTTCTCAGCGAAGAAACTCTCGACAACATTTTTAGCTCAATAGCACAACTATTATTGAATGAAGATAATCGGTAAGAATATATCACGCTCACCTTACGAATACGCATTTCTCTTTTCTAGAATTTGTGGCAACAGCGCTTATATAATTGGTAGTGCAGTCGAATTTGAATCCGGATTAAAACGCTTCCTAACTATATTTTCACAAGATCGTACAGAAAATACGGTGGATATCATCCAAACACTAAGCAATTTATTATCACATTCGGATTCGGAATGTGCAATGAACGCAGCGGGTATACTTGGTACTATAGTATGTAGGTTTCTCATTTAAAATTTGTAACAGTTTACAAAAAAAAAACAATCATAAAACTCACACCACCAGAAATTTTCTTTCTGAATGACAAGAAAAGCAAATAAGAAAAGGAAAAGAACGCAACACGTTGCCTCGATGAGTCGATTCTAAAACTGTTACAAGATTTCTTTGTAAGACTTCTCATATTCAATTACATTGTATTTTCTTTCAAAGTGCGGCTCAAAAGAAGGACGGAATCTAATCTTAAATCATGCCTGTATATCACAAATGATCACCAATACATCGTCACTATTATCTTCTGAAAACTCATGGATTGCTAGTAACGCTGCATTAGTCTTGGCTAGGTAGATATGCATGACATTTATAGTAACTGAGTGATGCTGTACCATTCTAGACTCACTGTTGAAGAACTTGGCTCTCAAGCAATATTAACGCATCCAAAACATCGACAGATTTTGAATGAGATGCTAGCTGCACTCGACGTGAGTTATCCGGGACGAGCAACCAATGCTGCGTTTGCAATAGGACGTTTGATCGAAGGAGATGAGGGAAAGAAAATCTTTGTAGCTGCTTGTGGACAATACAAAATTGTAAATGAAAAGTTTTCTTGAAAATATTATTGTTAACCGATTGCTTTAGTTTGACGCGCTGTTATTGATGATGGAAGTGAATGAAGAAAAAGGTGTAAATAAGAACGCTTGTTATGCCTTAAGTTGTATATGTACAACGCCATTTGGTTTTCAATTGTGTCTTCAATATAGCGATACTTTCCATCGGATTCTGCTNGTCTCACTCGCTACGAATTATTTTGTAATCGACGATGTATATATTCCGGTACAGCTCAAGAACATCGTGCAACAATGCTCAAATCAGATACAGAATATACTATGGAAGTAGCGGCCGTCACTAATGAAGGTCGATTTCGCAGCAAACCAGCAAAAATTCGAACTTTGAAAGATGAATGTAAGTGTTTGACGAAGATTTCCTGTCTTTCACAGAACAGTGTTGATTCATTGGTTAACTAATCTTTAGTTAATAATGCACATCGATATTCACTTTATGAACCACTATCTCAAAGTCCGCCCCGAGTGAAACGTACTGAAACAGTCAGTTCTTTGTATTCCTCAGCGACGAATCTTAGTTCATCAAGAGCGTCAATGTCTTCTGTTGGACGACGTTTATTTCGAGAAGGTAAAGATTGTTCATTTCTAATCATTTTAAAGCTAGCCTTCGCGTACATTTAGGAACACATGCAAGTCGAAATGTCGATATGAGTACTACCGTTCCCATCCAACTCGCAGTAAATTGCCAATTTTCATGCCGCCATACAGGCATACATATCAACTTCTTTCATTTTCTTTAGTCAGGCAATCTTAGCAACAGTCGCACCTTACCAGCATTAACACGAAGTCTTCAACCTCGTGCGCCCGAATCTATTAGAAGACGTGATGTGCAACGGTATCGAACTGAGCCCATTTCGATAAATCAACTTCAACCTCAAACGAAGTTCATATCCGCTTCTATGATTGAACCTATTCTTGAAATCGACCATAAACCTCAAGTGAGATGGGCATCGCCAGTTCGACAATCCATCCCACAAACAACAGCTTTTCGACTTTCAGCAACGGACAAATCAACATTGAGTATGCGCGATGCACAACGTGCAGACCGATCTGTATCAGTTTCATTGCCAGATTTGCCATCGAATGTACCACGAACTCAATCAGTCAGTCACACATAAAGAGGTTTTGCTTGCCTGTGCAACGTTGCCTTTTCTTTTGTCTATTCTTCGTTGGTCCGTGAGGAAGAAAAAATAAAGGACGGATAGTGTTATCATTTTCTCAAGAGTCACTTTTTTCTAATTCTCTATATCATCACCATCATTTGAATAAAAAAAAAGAAAAAGCAGAGATAAAGACAGTGTCATCAAGTGAGTCAACATCTTTGTAGTTTATCCGATAGCTATTCATATTTGAAAAGACTCTCATTTTCTCTTTCGTAATTATGACATCGAATGGCTGGTTCAAGAAAATAAAAGATCAAGCACAAACCGTACAAGGCTCCGCGAAGAAAAGCCTGGTAAAATTCACTGATTCACTTGACAAGAAACTCAAAGAAGCTCAAGATGATTTAGAAAAGTGCATAGATTTATTTCTTCTTGATCTCAATCAGATTTGATGTTTTATGTTTTGAAGGCAACGTCTCAAAGCTGAATCGACGAGATTAGAAGCTGTTCAGCAAAATATCTGGCGACCTTCCGTAGAAAATCCAGATGGTGCAATTCTAACAGTTACAAAGCCAGTACCACCCGGTTAGTTTCTGATTTACGACGCACATTAATATGTGTTTGTAAACATATTTACTTAGCATTACCCGCTATCCCAGCACTACCAGAAATTCCGTCGATACCTAGCCCAACTTCTGAACCTTTAACGATACCTCATACGAAAGGAAGACGACGTAGTTCAAGAAAAAATGGTTAGATACGTACTGCACACATTGTAAATTGATCAATTTATTTTGATTCCTAGGTACAGTCTTTGGTTCATCTTCGACTCTCGATGCCGATAATGAATCAAGTCGTGAACCTAAGATTCATTTCGACGAACTGAAAAGTAATGAGAAACATGCTAAACTGCCTGAGAACACGATTATCACCGAGCAAATTAATCGCGAACAAGTCATCGCATGTCTACATGAGCTATTGGATGTAATAGCAAGTGTTCATGAACTTGTTGAGAATGCTGTAACCATCGATACATCGGAAAAAGACAAACTTCAACTAGCACAAGATTTAGTCGATCATTACGACATTGTTACAAGTAGATCCAATGACGAGATTATTGAGCAGAATGAACTTTTAGATGAATCCGAAGACCAGAAAAATATCAATGAAGACGCCAGCGATGACAATCATCCGTCAGTTGAACTACCGAAAGAAGAAGAACTGCAGACGCTAGACTCTATCCCAACAGAAGATGGCACTCCAATTGCACAATTGGACTTTGAAACTGTTCAAAAAGAAACAGTCGTGTCTATTACAACGGTTGACGATCCGAAAAATGCATTAAATGAAACGCAATCTCATGTTGAAGACGATGATGAAAACAAAACCAGTGATGAACCATCAGCTCTCACCACTAATAACGACATTTTGGCGACATCCAGTAATGTTGATGATGAACAATCATCACAGTGTACACATGTGGATACGGACCCAATCGAAGATGAATTATCCACATCAACAGATAATACAGAAGATATTTCCAAAACACCGCACAATGAACTGGAGGATTCATTTGAAAAAATATCGTCTTCTCAGTCAATCACCCAGCAGTCAACGGAAGAAATTTTACAGAAATCTACTAGTTTAGCTGAACTGCGTATGTTTCTCGCTAAAATCGACAACGATTCAGACGCCGATGTAGAGCTCATATCGACCCAATATCAAACAACATCGACCGACGAAGTTGATAGTAACTGTTGTGAAATAAATGACGATATATCTTATTCAGACGATGCCACCCACACATCAGTTTGTTCAAATTCGCCTTCAATTCCTTCATTGGACTATGTTACCACGGATTCAGTAAGTGACGATGTATTTGTGGACGGAATGGGCGATCAAAGAACTTCCACAATTACAAGCGAAGAAAAAGTAATAGAAAGGATGTGTTTTCCATTGGCTTCTTCTCATTCACTTCCATCGGGCATAAAAATCTCTTCCATGACTTGTTCGTCAACGTATATTTACGTGTGCACGAATAATCAGAAAATTTTCTACGCTAAAATCGCTAACGATTCTGATCTTGGCTCTCAATTACAATGGCAGCAGCACTCTGACTTCGCTGAACAACTTGCTGTTAGTGTCAGCAATCGAACTGTATGGCGTCTATATAACAAACGTCTCTATTCATCGATCGATGCCGTCAGATTTCCCCCAATAGGTTCTCGATGGAACGAAATCAAGCTAGATTCGATATTGTTAAGTATGTCAATCAACGATCAATGTGGCTGGTAAGATGACAGATCTACTCCAAAGCGGTTTCTTAGAAATGCGTACTTTTGTAAAATTATAGGTATATCAAGAAAGGTGGCTCACTCTGGTTTATTCGAACAACAAATAATGACAAGCAACAAACATTGAATGTTCCATGTCCGTTCAATTTGATAGGTGTCTTTTGCTTTGCTGAGAAGGTGGGTGTAACAGCATCCACCGGAGAAATTATGATACGTGTTGGATGCACCAATGATTGTCCTGAAGGTGACGGATGGATTTTTATTGATCATAAGTATGAGAAAGTAAATAAAATGAGCAATAGTTTAGTTCTGGTGGTTTTCTTGCAGTTTTGGCCCAATTGATGACTTCGTGTTATTGCCAAATACGGATACAATTTTCATTGTGGATAAACAGCATCGTCTATGGCTACAACAATGTTTGCCGGATCAAGGCTCTTTCGAAGTCTTACGTGGTGATGATGATGATTGGAGTGCACATCATCGGCGACATGTAGCTGGTGTCAATTCAAGCCTAATATGTTTAACTGATCGTGAAGAAAAACTGCATATTTTCTCGAATTTTCTGACTGGTAGGAAATATTCAGGATAATAATTCTTTTCTACTATGATGTAATTCAAGGTATTCAATGGAGATTGATTCAGAAGACAACTCGTTTCCAACGTTTAATCGGTGTATTTTCCAATGAAAGTTTGTATTTATTTTTAACAATTATATTTCTGTGAAACGGTTTCTTTTTTGTAGACCATGTGTGGGCATTGAATACTGATCGAATGATCTGCACATCGAATCATCAAACACTTGAAAAGCCGCGACAGTGTCAATACATAACCCATGCCACATTCGTTCCAAATAACTTCTCGGAAAGTAAGCATTACGTGTTTACTGTCTGTATATACTACGTAATTCATTAGACACTGTCCTCTGGTCGTTGGACGAATCTTGTAATATTTATGTTCGGCCGAACATCGAAATTAATACTCAATGGGAACAGTTAAATCAAAGTCAATTCGGTTGGTAGAAGAAAGATTTTCTTTCCTCTTCACGGTAGATTCGTTTTTTTTTTTAATATTTAGAATGGAGTCGAAGGTTGGTACATATGGTTTGTAATCATGCAGGTGTATGGGCTGTTGATGATCAAGGATTAATTCACTTCCGTCATGGGCATATTTCTGCAAGTGAAAACATGGGTGACAGTGAATTGTCATTGTTGCCACCTGCTTGGATCACAATTCCTGGAGAAGCAAAACGACATCGATATTTTTCACAAGTTTTCTGTGGACCAGCAGATTGGATGGTAATAGATGATCATAATAACTGTTTCTGTATTTCGAAATTGATGTTTTTCTCTTAGGTTTATGCAACTGATAATAAACAAACTGTTTATGCTCGACTTGGTGTCAATGAACAAAATCGTGTTGGAACATCATGGAAGCCGATCGAAGGTAACGAAGCTAGCTGCATATGGCAATGAATTTCAGTAACATTCTTCCTCTTTATCAATAGATTGCTCAGCTCTTGAGCTAGCAGTTAGTGAGCGCACACTGTGGCTATTGACAAGCTGTGGAGAAATTCAATGTCGAGAAAATATTTCTCTAACAAATCCTGTTGGGACACGATCGATAACGTTACCGGGTCATTTTCTTTCTTTGACTGGTTCGTATTTTCAAACGAGAATCAAATGCATTCTTCATGTTTTTCTTTTCTTTTAGTCTCGACAGACGACAGTCAAGTTTGGGCATTAGATTCTGCACGTAACCTACTGAGACTTGATTACTTAACTGTTTTATTTGAAAAATAAAAATGTTCAGTTCGTTATTTTCTTTCACTCGTTAAGTTATATAAAAGTATTCAAATGATGGATATATGGAAGACATCAACTGTTCGATTTCCTATGAACGAAGCCATGGAAATCTCTCGAGTTTCGACGAATCAGGAAAAACGTAACTAAAACGAATTGTTCCGAAGAGAATATATGACAATAAAGCAAAATAAGAAAACGAATTCTACCTGCGTGTGTATTCCGTATTGAACGTGTCGGGTATAACACGTGCTAATGGTCGGCCAGGTAAAGTAAAATCCGGTTGAGGATTGATTGTAAACGGTGAACATGATAATGGTTCAGGTTTTTTGTATCGATCCATAAATTCTGTTTTACCTGGGAAAGTTAAATTGATACCTGCTTTGCGAACTTCACCATCGTGATAACTTTCGTAAACTGTTGGCCGAGAAGCGAAGTTCGGCGTCGTGCTAGGACGTTTCATGTCTAGTAAGGATTATAATAATTACAAATGATTAGTTAAAGAATAATTCAACCTGCAGTCTGTGCACGTCGCAAATATCCAAGAAGATTGGGATTGTTAGTTGAAAATTGTCGAGTCGATGATGCTGAGCCGGCTGTTGTAGCCGATGGACCATAGTCTAAACAAGGCATCTATTGATCAAAAATCACTTCGAATTGTTTAGTTTTTGCATAATTACGTCGATAAGCATGAACCCAATTCTTCCAATCAGGTGTTGATTGTTGTTGAACAGCTGTAGCTGCACGAGGTAGTTTCCGATCTGCCCATATTGTATGAACATTCAATGGTTGTCCGCTACCTCGAGTTAAATTATGTCGATAACCCATGTAACGATCAGTTACACCAAGATGATGAGCAATATTATCTAATCGACCATATGAACTTGACGCATATGGTTGAAGAACCTGAATGAAAATACAAAAATAATGATCAGTGGAAAAAATTTTTCGTCATTACTTGAAGATAATCTGTTAATGCATCACATGCCCAACTATGCAGTTCTCGCATTTGATTTTCTTCTTTATTTTGAATGGATGTTGCATGAAGACAAGTTTGAAGATCACGACTAAGATCATGTCCTTGTGCGATTACTTGTTTAACATCTGTAAATGAAAATAAACAGCAATCGATTCAAAGGTTTCTCTGAAAAAAAGCGAAACTCGTATATATTTACTCAATTCATTCATTTTCATTTCATTAGCATCGAATTGTTTCGCCCAATTTTTCGATCCTCGCTGGAACTCGTGATCAAGTTTAATGTTATCCAAAGCATTTGTAATTAGTTTGATGTTGCTTGTTATATCCTGTGTTGAGTAATGTTGACCAGATGTTAAGATTTCATTGAAATTCACTTGTAAATTTCGAATATCTTTTTCTAAGGCATCATTTCGTTGTGACACAAAGGTATGTTGAGACATGTTTTTCGAACTAACAAACAATACAAAGAATGAAACGAAATCTGATGTGAAAGCATTTCATCAACATGTCACCTGGCAACAGACTTTAAGAAGAATTTAGAAATCGACAGAGAATTTTTGTCAATGGAAGCCACATATGCTCGTCGATTCAAATGGTACAAATATATGCAAAGCCTTTTTGAGTCTTCGTAGACAATAATGTACTCAAAACACTGATTTTAATGTTTTTATCAAAAGATTTGATAAGAACACGAGTCCTCCGAATGGCATAAGTGAAACAATGTGATGATCATATGTATATTTATTTCTTGAAGGAAGTGTAGAATCGGAAAACTTAAACAGCAGAACGAATTTCCGATTGAATCAGATTTTCTCGCATTAGATCGATTAATTTCACACGACATTTCTTCCATCTACGTTCCTGTACGTCATTTGCATGGGCAAGATGTAGAGTGACTGCTTTTAATTTAGATAACGATTTGATAAAGACAGACCATGTGTGATAATCCAAACAAGATGTATCTGGAAAGGAGCTGATAATGGTTAGTTTGAAGTCCGTTAGATTCGGAGCGAAGCCCGACAAAAACTCTGTTAGTTGCGCGAACGGCATTGTAAATTCACAGATATACAAAGTTAAATTCGAGATTTCAGTTCGATAACTAGAGATATTTTGCTCGTCAACTGCAGAATCCAAAGACAACTGTTTGGCAGTGATATTCAACGAGTGTAGATTTGGTAGGTGTGAAAGAATGTTTCCCAATCGTCTAACAAAACAAATATTCTTCTTGCCGAGTAATCTTAGCGATTGAATAGGACTTCGTAGTTCATTACTCAATTGGCAGGAATGTGTAGCGATACTCAATTGCATAGAACACATCTGCAGATGGGGTAAAGTCAGAACCAGTTGAAGTAAAACCGAGGTCATCTTGTAGTTAATCGACATTTTAGTACTAATATTCAAATAACGAAGATGAGTCAAACTATTTCGAATAATATTTAAAAGTTCCTTGTTAACATCCAAACGATGAAGAATCAATGTATCAATTTGTGGGAAATCGAATAAGCCTGCATAATACTCTAAATCAATCTATAATATACATGCATCATAGCCGCAAGTAACATGGATCATAGTGCTTACTTTATTCGTATTTTCTAATCGTAAACCGGTAACATATTGTCGGTGTGTCAGCTTCGGTAAAACATGTCGAAGTAAATAGTATGCTTCATCGTCATGGTTTTTCAAGCTTATCTTTGTTTGAGAAGCAAGCAGAATGTCATCGAGTCTTTTATTCAAATTCGAAAAAGTTTTAAAACGATCGAATGTTTTCAAATAGGCAAATGTTTGAAACCAAATTTCCACCGGTAGATGTTCGATGGTCGTCGACATGATGAAAGTAATTGCACGAAATGTGATGCATATATTTATTTTTATTCATGGACATGCAAAAAAGGCTCGTTCTTACGAAATTACATTGAAATATTTCATAAGATATGAGTTAAAAGTAAGTCACATGCAATTCAGAATTCAATAATGACGAAACACGTTGAATATTTTGGTCAAGATCAATTATATATGAATTTGTTGATGGCTGGTTCTCACGAAGAATACGCATTGCCTTTTCAAAGTAGGTCAGAGCTTGTTGATACAAAGATTTTTGTTCATAAACAATCCCGATATTGTGCAATGTTGATACTAAAGATAAATGATGAGAAGGAAGACATTTGATTTTGATATCCAAAGATAAATAATAATTTTCTAATGCGAGGTCATATTCTATCAAACAAAGATAGATATTTCCGATGTTATTGTACGATGCGGCAAGATCAAAATGATCTTTTGGAAGAGATTTTTGTCGAATAGCTAACGCTTTCTGGTGAAATTCTAATGCTTTGGAATAATTCTTTTCATTTTCATAAATACAACCCATATTATTCAAAACATCGGCTATCTGATAATAATGCTCACCCAATAGCTTTCTCCAGATATCCCATGCTTTCGTGTAGAACTCAAGAGCATTTCGGAAATCTCCTTGTTTTTGATAGATACAACCAATGCAATTATAACTCGTCGCTAAACAAGGATCATCGAATTTCAAAATCTCCAGCGATTTCTTATGATAATTCAAGCTCTTTTCGTAATCATCTTTTAGTAGAGCTAGTACACCAAGTGCGTGGTAAGATTTCGAAAGAATTTGTTTGTCGTTGGGTAGTTCATGGATTAAACGAGAAAAATATCCCTCTGCTAAATCGTATTCACCCATTTTATGGAGCAGAGTTCCGAAAGTGACGAGGCTTGTTTCTTCGTTGATGTCAGTGTGTTCATCTTTGATATGATCGTAGAGTCGTTGTAGATTTTCGTTATGATCGTTGGAAAATACCATTTGTATGATCCAATAATCATTCTTATCTTGTTTGATGTTCATTACACGAAAAACTGAGCCTAACATGAATAGAATTTCTTGTTCAGTAGAGTACGAACTTAATGAAGCGATATTGGCGAATGGTTTCGAATGGTTTTCATTGGGATCAGCGTCGATTTCGAAGAGAATCTTCTGTACACAATCGGAAGATGATTCATCTTTTAAGAATCTCAGTGCTTTTTGTCGATTGAGACTTGTTGAAAAGAAAGAATTGATTGAGAGATATTCACCGAGTGAATTTGTTAACTGATCGAGTTCTTCTTGAGACAAGAGTTGTCCTCGATAGACACGAATCGACGTGGTACATTGGTTGGCTTTTAATTGTTGACTTACATCGCGAAGAAAGAACCGAAACAGAAATAATAAATGGAAATTTTTCGTGCGTAATGCTTTATTTAGTAAACGATAGAGAAAGGTTTCGCGTGTATACCACCATATCGCACGATTTGATGAATAAGTTTCTTGGAATTCTTTGAGAAGAGTCAATTCATTCGGACTATCTGCATAAATTTGATTACAAACTTCAATTAATTCGTTCTTATCCGATGAAGTTGGTGTCATTCGAATGAGACAGTCGACCAATAACTGAGAATAGAGAAAATCATTGTTCAACGTATTAGTAGATCTATCCGTGCCACCACTCAGATTCGACAAGGCTAATGCAACTGGCTCATCGACACCGCTTTCGCGGAGTTTAGTTCGATCTAATTGGATTTGTTGGAATAGACCTTCGAATTTGATAAAAACTCCTTTGATCTATGCAGTCACAAAAAAAACATTTCATTTATCAGCATTCGAATGTAAAGTTACTTTAGGAAACATTTTTGTCCATTCTTCATTTCTTTTCTTGTTCATACAATATACATAGATGATAGCGATTTGTCGAATATGGTGAATTTTTGGTACGATTACTTGACCTAATTGACCACTGACAACCAGAAAGATTCGATCATCTCTAGATGCTTCTTGCAGATATTGTTCACAGTCCTGAACATTGTCAAACACTTTCAAATAGATCATTATCATACGAAGTAATCGTTGCGCATTGACGTTATCATTACTAGCATTCACTGATGAGTCCAACCAGACAAGACAAATTGATTCAAGATTGTTCTTCTCCTGTGTTAGAGTATGTGTCGCCATCGATCGTAATGTTGCCTTCACGTGAAGAAACTTGAAAATGTTTCATACATTTACCTTGCTGTTTTTTATGAATTCTTTTGTATTCCTTCTCGCCTGTGTAACTTCCATTAATACCATTGCGATTTGCTAAGGCTGAAGAAAGAAATATGATCCCATATGAAGGTTTATTATTCACTCGATTAATACAACAAAGTACACTTATGCTTTGAAATGTGAAAGTCATGCTTGTCCCCGTGAAATCCTATAGATGTTTATTTCCGTTAACTTGACAAAATCACGATATACTGGACAGGATTCTTTTTATAAAAAAAAACATTCGAGAGGTTTGGCGTATAGAAGAATATAGTTCATTATTTTCTACAATCAACTGAAAATATCGAACCTCGTAACACAACAAGACCTGAGAAGTCAAAAGATTATCGTAACAAATCGTTCACACGTTGAATATCTTTACGAATTTGGACGAGATGACCGTCTGTCGGTGGTAATACAGTTTGAAAGCTCCATCCGGCTCTTTGATAATGCAACTGTGCCTGTTCGTACTGTCCTTTAATCTCATATGTATCTGCAATACTTCTCAATATCATTCCCATGGCAAATCGTGAAGAAGTTACCGTTTTCGTATAGATCTCAAGTGACATGTGATAGTAATCCAAGGCTTGATCAATATTGTTGAGAGCTTTATGAACTGTAGCAAGATTTTTGTACGACTCAGCCAATTGAGGATCCATTGGGGGGACATGTTTCTGATAGATTGCATGCGCTGTTTCATACGCGTTCAAAGCTTCAGGGAAATTCTCTCCCTTTCGATGCACATTTCCGATCTGATTGAAGCATGCAGCAATCTTTGGATGTTCTTCACCAAAATTCTTTTGAAAAATGTCTATCGATTTCTTAATGAAATCGAAGGCTCGCTTTGGGTCATTTTTCTCTCGATAATTTTCCGCCAGACTGAGGTAACTATCAGCGATGTCTGGGTGATCTGTTCCAAGGAGCTCCACTTGAATCGCTAGGGCTCTATTGAACCATTGAAGACTAGAATCATAATCACCTTTGTCTTTACATAAAGTTCCAAGTGCATTGTAAAAGAGAACAGTATCTTGATGATCATCAGGTAGACCTTTCAACATATGGAGGTAATATCTCTCTGCGTCCGCAAATCTTCTTGATTGACAGCAAAAGTGTCCAAAAGTAGTTAGTGGATGTGGATTATCTCCTTGATTGAACATTCTACGTAATTGTTGATTACTTTCAGAACAGAGGACTAGTCGAATATTCCAGTTTTGTTCCTCATCGATTTGGATACTGATGTAACGAAAAATTGTACCGGGCATGAAAAGAGTTCGCTCCTCATTAGGTAAATAACTTTGAGTAGCTAGGTTACTGAATGGTTTGATATTTTCTAAATGAGGATCAGCTTCGATTTCGAATAGTACTCGTTGAAACTCCTCCGAATAGTCTAGTTGAGATAGATATGACTGAACTTGTTGCTTTGAACTTGCCCAAAGAAATGAACTTGTCGAAATGAAACCTCCAATAGTTCTTTTTAAAATTTCTAATTTTTTTACCGAAATCAATTGACCGGAAAAGACGCGAATGGGTGCTGAGCATTTTGTTTTCATTAATTGTCGTTCGATGTCATGAAAATAAAATCGAAAGAGTAATAACAACTCCAGATTTTGATCTCGCAACGCTTTGTTCAATAGACGATAGAGAAACGATTGCCTTGTGTACCACCATATTGCGCGTGAGGGTCTATAGTTTTCATTGAATTCTTCCAGAATTTTTAGTTCCTCTTCATTTCCTGCATAATACCGTTGACATAGGGAGAGCAGATCGGTTTTATCAGTCATAGCAGAATTTGTTTGGCGAAGGCAATCGATCAACAAATGAGAATAAATGAAGCCACTATAGAGATCAGCTAATGACTGTTCTCGATCAAGAACAAGTGCCGGTATGGTAATGATTTTTAATGATTCAATTAATCTATTCTGTTGCCGTGTTAACTGTTCTTCATGAATGATATTTCCAAGCTCAACCAAGCTGACAACAAGTCGTCTTATCTACAAACAATGCTAAGGATAGTTTAATTCAACAACGAAGAAAAGCTAAAATTCCTTCTATGCTAATAGACGCGCTCTAATTTCTCACCTTAGGATATTTCGAAGCCCAGCTTTCGTTCTTTTTCTTGTCCATACAATAAACATAAATAGATGAAATTTGTTGAACATTATGAACTTGTGGAACAATTTCTTGGCCTAATCGTCCACTGACAATCAGAATGATTTGGTCTTGTTTCGGTACAGATGAAAGGTATTCCAAACATTCATTGGTGTGTTTGAAAACTCGCAGATAATTGATGTCCGCTCGAAGTTGTCGTTGGATTTGTGGAAATTCTGGAGCGTACGCGATCGTCGGATCAAGCCAAAGAATAGCATTTGTTTCTAGATTTGGTTGGTGCTCTTGTTCTTCGTCTTGTGTTGCCAGTGCAGTAGCCATACACTTTGAATTTAGCGCTTTTTTGTGACAACAGAGTACGTTTTTAGGGTAAAATTGAATTTGCTAAAGAAGTTTTACAATCGTGTTGGAATGTTACTTTTCAAACGGTAATTTTGCGAAAAAAAAGAAAGGAAGGTCAAGGAAAGCAAATACTATTGCTGTAGAGTCGCGCAGAATAGAAAAAGCCGTTTGTCAACAACGTTGATTAAGTTGTCAGGTAAAGAACAGAGTATATGTGTTTTTAAGTTATAAAAAGAGAACCAAAATCTAAGGATTCAGTTAAAATCTTTGTATTTGTATATATTTGGAAATAAAGCCTCATTCTTTATCAATATATTGCCGTCAATAATTTCATTCTAACGAAAGCCCTTACGTAATTTAATAAGTATATAACAGACCACGAAATGATTGAATAGAGTAGCAAATACTTTGTATTCATCTTCCTACGGGAACTATTGTTTGTATTGCGAAATGGACTGCTAGCGACATCTAGACACTTGCATATGATAAAGTACGACTTAAGTTTAATAAAGAAAATATGTTGAATTTGAACTTTACTTTTGAATATACCATCAAATCTCTTGTAAATTCTTTTGAAGGTATCTATAACTAATCTAATTGGTGAGATAATCCATCCATAAGGATGTTTGTGTGTTGGTAAGAATGCGTGATCCATCTATCGCGACTGATAGACGATGTTTTCAAACATCTTTGGTGGATTTTAATACGAACGTTTGAACGTTTGCTATGGGTGCACAGTATTCTTCCGTATCGGATCTTAAATCCAATGAATATCTTTCTCGTTTTGCCAGCGAAGAATCCATAACACCGACAGATCCATTTTGGAATCAGTTTCTGTCATTTCGTCTCCAATCTCCATTTGCAGCGTAAGTAACTGACTATCGTCCGGTTGTTTCTCCACTGAATTTCCCTTGGTCTTTCAGTTCACAATCGAAACTATTGGATGAACTATGTGCCACATATCTTCAACAACTCGAATCAAACAATCCTCGAGCAAATAACTATGGAGCATTAATCGAAGTATTCGTTCGTTTAGCAACCACATTACGAGACGAATGCGAAGAGTATGTTTTTCGTAAAAATGGAAGAAATCAATGAGATCATCACTATTTTTCAGTAATAGTCTCGTTTGGCAAACCTACAGCGCTTTGTTTGTCCTTCGTTCTATCACAAAATATTTCATTGAAATCGATTCCGAACCGAATCTTTCTCTGTATTTTGCTCCACAAGAAAATCTCCTTGAACGGACATCATTGATGGGTGTGTTTATTGATACTTTATTCCGAACGACGATCATCCTTCCAGTGACATCCTATTCATATGCTTTACATTTGGAAGTGTTGAACACATTACTATCACTCTTAGCGATTCAAATGTGCGCCAAAGAAGCTGCATTTATCAGTGCTATTTACACGATTTTTATGCATAGACTAGAGTAAGTGAAGGTGAACTTCAGTGATTTCAAAGATAGATTGCCTTTTAGTCCGCTATTAATATCAGAATTCACGCGAACGTTATTAGAACATTTTATGAAACAAACGGAATGTCCGGCGTTTTTAGCAGTCGACTCAGCTACAAGATCAACTACAGATAGCGGAAGTTTGTACAAAATTGGTCAAAGTGTTGCAAGTAGGTGACGAATTCATCGATTTCGTGTTTACGATTGTTACATCCGTATTAGGTAGTTTTTGGTCGGTCATGACACTTGGAATGAGCTCATCAACAACAAATGTAGCCGAAGAAGTAGCACCATCCATTGAATCGGCCAATATTCTTCGTAATCGACATCTATCAAACCAAAGTATTCATCTACTTTTAATTCTGAGCAATCATTTTACAAGTGATGCTCATCGAAATCCTTATCGACTAGCTTTATTACATTTTACGGATACGCAAGGTAAACGAATTCTATGCAAAAGCTGTTTCGAATGTTCAACTCTGTAGATACACCGACAAATCTACCCGATTCCGAACCATTACCATGGTTTTCAGTTGATTATCGATGTTTATATGATGTTCTTTGCCAAACAGTGCATACTGAACAGAGTACATTATTATTATACATGTTACTTCATCGTAATCAACATTTTCGAGCTTATGTCATATCACGATCAAATATCGATCAAATAGTAAGATTTTATTATTTGAAAAAACACGAAAGAATTCATTTCTCAAAAAACAGGTTTTACCAATTCTTCGAGTGATTTACACGACTACAGATGGCAATTCCCATCACATTTACATGTCATTAATTATTCTATTGATTCTTTCTGAAGATGATTATTTCAATAGAGCAATCCATGATATAAAATTGAAGAAAGTCGCCTGGTAAACTTGTCTTATATGTACACTAAACATTGATGAGAGTGTTTGCAGGTATACTGAACGTTCTATCAATGAAATAAGCCTTGGTGGTCTGTTAATTGCCATTGTTCTTCGCACAATTCAATATAACATGGCGCGCATGCGAGACAAATACCTTCATACGAACTGTCTAGCTGCTCTTGCAAATATGTCATCCCAATTTCAGAATTTGCACACATACGTCACTCAACGGATAATCTCTTTGTTCAATTTACTGGCTCGTAAACATTCCAAAATCTTAGAACTTATTCAACAACAATCCAAACAAGAACATACTGCATCAGCGATGGCTTTAACTGATCATCCTCAAACATTAGCATCGAATGACGACATTCTCAATGACTACATACAAGATTTAAGCATCATCGAAGATGTTATGAGAATGGTCTTAGAAATCATCAATTCATGTTTAATACATACACTACGTTTGAATAGTAACTTGATCTACGCATTACTTTATAATCGAGATATATTTGATAACTATCGGACACATCCCAATTTCCAAGATATTTTACAAAACATTGATACAGTTATTGTCTACTTTGCGGAAAAAGTCGATCAATCAGCACAACGATCAGCTGAATATGTTAAAGAGATTATTGAATCGAATGCAAAACAGTTTCCACTGGATCGATTGAAAGTACTGTCGGATCTTCGCGTTTGAAAATATGCCTTTGAATTTTCTTTAGAAATTTCCTGATTTAAAATTTAAATACGTTGAGGAAGAACAACCGGAAGATTTCTTTGTCCCTTATGTTTGGACATTAGGTACGAGACATAATGGATTCTTCTTTGATGGATTTATTTGATTTGTTTTAGTTTACAAATCATGTAAGCTTCATTGGTCAACGGAATCGGTTTTTATTTTCAAGCAACCATCAAATAATTCCTAATGACGAATAATACACATCTGAATTTTCGTATTTTTTTTTTCGTGAATAGACTGCCTGTCATTTTTGTAATGCGTATTCATTCTTCTTTCCTCCTTATCGTCGAATCTACATATGAAAAGATATTTTAGATATCGAATAATTACCATGAGTCATTCGGCTGAAGATCCGGATGACCTAGTTCGAAAAAAAGTCGATCTTAATCATATAACAAAAATGAGTAAATACAAAATTGATCGAAAGTCTCCTCTAATCTGTCGATTTTCTCTTAGGTTATCAGATGCACGTGCCGGATTCGATCACAGTGGGGCCCAATCGATCAGCAATGCCTCGTCTCCATCAAGACGACGGCCAATTACCAGTGCGCATGGAAGTTCCAAATAGTATTCGACTTGGTAAGAAACAAAACTGCTCGCTTTTCGACTAAATCGATCGCTTGTGCTTACAGGCAATACTGATACGACAATGGGCTTGTCAAATGGGACAGATTTCTCTCCCAATAATGACTCCAATCATTCATTAGATACAACTAGTCAACCACCGATGAGTGATGATGATTACTCACCGATTGAAGTATCCAATGATCAAAACCAGCCAATGAGATTAGCTGAATCGTAAGTTGGATGTCCGATACGAGAGAATTCATTTGTGATGATGTACATTCTTTCAGATGGCATGTTGAACCGCCGACGACTATTGATGACAAAAATGTTCTCAATAAACTTCAATTATTACAAAACCGCATAAATCAAATCGAACGAACGTTCGCACGACGCGATTTTCGTGATCGCATAGTCTACACGTGCATTATTGGTTATTTCTTTCTTCAAGCTTTACTCTCTGTTCGCCGGTCAATGCTTAATTAGTCCAACACAAAACGCAAACTAGCTCCTTATTTTGCTAAATATTTTTCTGTCATCTGTACAAATAAACTCGACTCTTCTCTTTCGTCGAAACTGGCATCATTCGATTTGACTATTTCTTTTAGATTTATTCAATCTCAAATGAGTATCTATCTTCGAGACGTAGGCGAATTCGATTTAACCTTTTCGTGTTATGTTTCGTTTTCGTTTAGGATTTAACGCGAAGCGAAAAGATCCAACATGCTAAACGTATGGTCAATGAAAATAAGCATATGCTTGATGCATGGGCGTTACTGATTCAAGATGCTCAAGTTTGTCGGCGATGACAGATGTTCGTTCGAAAATTTTTCGTTGTCTAGGAAAAGAAAATTGGCGATTCACGTGATTTCTACGAATCACTAATCACTCAATTCCCAACCTGTGGTAAATTCTGGAAGATTTATATCGAATCTGAGGTAAATGTCGATTTTTACTATCCGAAATGGCATCGAACTTCAATCTTTTCAGATCAAAGGACGAAATTATGAAAAAGTCGAGAAGGTAAACATGTCCGTCTCATACAACCGGGTATCACTCAATATATATGCACCTTTTCTAGCTGTTTCAACGATGTTTGATTAAAGTATTGAATATTGACCTGTGGAAATGTTATTTGAATTACGTTCGTGATACCAAAGGCAAACTACCATCATACAGGTTGGACTTGCTTTCTATTTTCAATGGTTTTCATTTAGATCTGATCATAGGTAGAAAGAGAGAGAGAGTATGGATTTTTACGATTTTGATATGTTTTTATACATTAAATAAAACGATAAATCTGCCGATCATTTTTTCACTCTGTTGTGATTACACTGATGCTTGT